ATATATATATATATATATATATATGTGTGTGTGTGTGTGTATAGTATTGTTCCTGAAAATAGACTTAATTTGTCATATAAAAACAACATATATTTATATGTATATTTTATTTATAATAAATATAATAATACACATTATCTATCTAACTATATATATAGTTCTAGAAAAGTATACATTATTTATACAAAAAATTATTTATAATAATAAAAATAATAAAATACAAATAATAATGATAAAAATTCAATTCAATTCAAGTTTATTTGTACAGCGCTTTTCACGATACAAATCATTGCAAAGTAACTTTACAGCAAATTAAGTTTCTACAATATTTACTTTAAAAATTAACTGTCAACAGACAGAAAGATAGATAGATAGATAGATAGATAGATAGATATTTTTTTTTAATAAATATAATACTCTTATATAATCTTATCCTATGTTTTAGAGTGAAATATGACTCCAGCATGTACGTTTTAAATTATTAAATGATTCGCAAGTACCTTTTTCGCCATTTCAATAGAAGGTCTTTCGATTGGAGTTCTTTTGGCCATCTCAAGCAGAAGTCTCTTGAGTTTTCTCGGCATGGCCAGCTTTTGATTGGGAGACAAATTAAACTTGGCTGTAGCCCAGAGAACAGCTGCTACCCCATACACACACGCCTAGAGATGAGCAAAAGCACACTGTAAACCACATTCATTTAAACAGACCACACTGTGTCACTAGACAGCGACAAACCTTTTCTGTCACAATTCCATGTTCTTGAAACTCAGGAGCCAGAAAAAATGCATCACAGGAGGCTGAGAAGGACAACAGGAACAAACTCAATGAACTAATAACAATTACAATAATTGCATTCACTTGAGAACATGTGAGTGTTGTTCTAAAGTGTGAGTTATTCTACATGTAAAGCTCATTCTGATTTAATATCGACTCTTCATTGACAGCTGTTATGAGTTGTGATGGTAATGAGATGTTCTGTAGTTCTCGTACCTGAGTTTTTAGGTCTCAGAAACAGCATCTCTCCTTCGCAGCCCACATACACAGAGTCCAGACACAGGTAGTCTAATGTAACACAGCACAGTTATTTTTCTCAAACAGGAGCCACGGATCACAGAGGTCATGTAAACGTGGAGCAAAACAGTTGTTAAATAAATACTGGTATTAGTTTGTGTTATTTAGGAGATGGTTGGTAACACTCTCTAACTATCTGAACGTGGGTAGTTGGCAAATAACAGACATTTTCTGATTCAACATTCAAGATTTTAGGTTAACATTTATAGGAATGTCAAGTCATTTTTAAAAATTAGCATATTAGAATGATTTCTATAAGGAACAATTCAGCTTTGTTTACAGCAATAAATTACATTTTAACAGATATTCACATAGAAAACAGCTATTTTAAATTCTAATAATATTTCACAATTTTTACTGTATTTTTTCCCAAGTTAAATGCAGCCTTGGTGAGCCGAAGAAACTTATTCAAAAATCTTAATTATTCCAAACTTTTGACTGGTAGTGTATGTATTAATTGTTTTGTATATTATTTTCACAAATTTATTATTATTATTTTTATTTTTATTTTTTTCTCATTTTTGATCATGTTTTAATTTTTTTGATGTTCACTTTACTTCAGTGTGACAAATGAATTTTCAAAACTACAGATATTCAATCAGGTCCCTGCATAAAAAAATCATACAAGTATTAGAAAAGGTTATTTAAAAGAGTTTTAAATAGAGTTGTAGAGAGGCGGAAACCTTTTGGAACATTTTCGGAAACTTTCCAGAATTTTTGGAAACCGTCTGACATTTTTTTTGAAATATTGGGGAATTTCTGGAAACTTTCCAAAAAATCCTAAAAATGAAAAAAAATAAAATAAATAAAATAAAAATAATAATAATAAAATAAAATAAAAAATTGCAACCCTACTTTTAAATGAAACATCATCAACTGTTGCCGGTCCCCACTGACTCCCATAGTATGGAAAAAACAAATACAATGGAAGTCAATGGCTACCGTCAACTGTTTGGTTACCAACATTCTTCAAAACATCTTCTTTTGTGTTCAACAGAAGAAAGGAATTCATACAGGTTTAGAACAACATGAGTGCGTGAATAAATGACAGAATTTTCATTTTTGGGTGGACGATCCCTTCAATATCAAGTTACTATGAACATAATACCTAAATATAGACAAAGCAAAGTATCTTTGATGTGCACGACTGACCTGGGAGGTCGATGTAGGTCTGTAGCGTGGAGAGACACGTGTAGCATAAAGCCCAGAGCTCATTGACTGAGAACGGCTGAGCAGAGCATGAGAGCAGCTCCCGCAAAGAGATCCACTGAGAAAAAGACAAAGAAAACAACACGTTATTCATTTTACATCAACATAAGTGCTTCATTTAGTTCCAGGTTTAAGCCAGGACACTACAATATACAATATAGGGTAAAAACCCCCCCACAAATTTTCACCATGTTTGAGGAATAAAATGTTAAATATAAATCAGGTGAATGTTATATGAGCAAATCCCTCAGTAAAAACCTTCAGAATATAAATAGAAATAAACCTGTAAAGTTTGGTGTGTGTAAGTGTTACTGGATTGGAGAAAAAAAACTCACCGTCTTTAAAGATATGTAATAAAACTGAAATCTACAGATGCAAATATATAAAGTGCAATAAAATAAACACTTAAATTTGTATTTTGGATGTTTTATTTCACTAGTCTGAAAGATATGAAAGAGTATTTCCCCCACAGAATAAAAAAATAAAGTAATTGCAACTTGTTATCTCACAATTCTGACTTTTTTCTCTGATTTCTGAGTTTACATCTTGCAATTCTGTTTTTTAGTTACCATCATGGAATAAAAAATGTAAAAAAGACATTTGGGGCATTTTTTTCTCACAATTTCTTCTCAGAATTCTGACTGTACATCTCGCATTTTTGAGTCTTTTGTACGCAATTCTGAGTTTATATCTCACAATTCTGACTTTTTTTCTCATAATTGAGACTTTTCTTCTCAGAAATGCGAGGGAAAAAATCAAATTGTGAGAAATAAACTCAGAATTGAAAATAAATTCAAATTGTGAAAAATAAACTCAGAATTGAAAAAAATCAAATTGTGAGAAATAAACTCAGAATTTAAAAAAAATCTAATTGTGAGAAACTCAGAATTGAAAAAAAATTCAAATTGCGAGAAATAAACTCAGAATTGCAAGAAAAAAAAATCTAATTATGAGAAATAAACTCAGAATTGCAAGAAAAAAAATCAAATTATGAGAAATAACCTCAGAATTGAAAATAAATAAAATTGTGAGAAATAAACTCAGAATTGAAAAAAAATAAAAGTTTGAGAAATAATCTCAGAATTGAAAAAAAAATCGAATTGTGAGAAAAACTTAGAATTGAAAAAAAATTCAAATTGCGAGAAATAAACTCAGAATTCTGAGAAAAAAAATCTAATTATGAGAAATAAACTCAGAATTGCATGAAAAAAATAAAAATGTGAGAAATTGGATGCAAAATTCTGAGAAAAAAAGTAAAAACTGAGATATAAATTCAAAACTGTGAGATAAAAAAGTCCCAATTACCTTATTTTTTATTGCATGATGGAAATTAGGCTCAATACACAGAAGGCATGTTATGGAAGCGAAATAGCCCAAAATGTAAAAACTGCATGAAAAAACAATGGCTTTAACTGAAGTGTCTTGCCTTAAATTAACAAAAAAGTCATATTTGGACTGTTTTGCATCAACAAACGCACCTGATTCTGAGATTCCTCATTCAGACACAGCACAGTTTTGTTGACGAGGTTGGAGCTGTGCACTTCAGCGTCTGTCTGAGTTCCTCCGTCTTCCGATGACGCGGGGCTCCGAGCGTCTGCAGCTTCAGTGTGATCCGTCTCGCATGCGTCGGGTTCTTCCTCTCCCTCCGAGTCTGAACCCCTGGGTTTGGGCCGCCGCAGTGTCCCGCTCCAGCTCTCCTCCTCCGTGATCTCGGACAGGTCGGTCATCATCATGCTGATGGGCGCGTGGGACGGAGGACAGAGCGCCGGAGGGTTGTTGGAGTCTGGGACGGAGCAGGAGCGGTTCAGGGCTCTCCTGGCTCTCCCGGGCCTCCTCTCCTGACTCCTCCTGTGCTCCGGAGAACTGTTCTGAGACCTGCTGTCTGGCGAAGGTTCGGCCGAACCTCCGGACCAGACCAGACCTCTGCACTTCAGCAGCAGCTCCTCGCCGTCGTATGAATCAGAGGAGCAGTTTCTCATCATGGTCCGATCGCCGGCGGGATTCTCCGTGGAGTTCGATCTCGAGGCTTTGAGGTCCAGAAACTGGAAATTGGATTTCTCCCATCCATCTGTGAACAGATAGAAAGATTTGACCATGCCAGATGCTAGATCAGTGATTCACAAACCTTTTTTTGTCAGCCAAGTTCTAGCTAACATACTTGATATTTTAATAATTTAACAACAAATGTGCATGTTCATGGTTATCATGTCAGTTAATGGTCACATGACATGCAGGTAAGCAAATACATTTTTGTATTCTTTTTTTATTTTTATTTTTTATTATTATTCTCTGATGTCAGTAAATGATTGCATGACATGCAGGTAAACAAATACAATATATATATATTTTATTTTTATTATTTATATCTGATATCAGTAAATGGATTTTTTTTTATAACTTTTTATTATTTAGTAGTCTCAGAAGTCAGATAATGGTCACATTATATGCAAGCAAACCAATAAAATATTATTTTTTATTATTATTATTCTCTGATGTCAGTTAATAGTCACAGGACACAGGTAAACAAATAAAATATTTTTATTATTGTTTTATAACTTTTTATTATTTAGTAGTCTCTGATGTCAGATAATGGTCACATTATATGCAAGTAAACTAATAAAATATTTTTATATATTTTTTAAAAATTATTATTCTCTGATGTCAAATAAAATATTCGTATTATTATTTCTTTATTTATTTTTTTATTTATTATTCTCTGACATTAGTTAATGGTCACGTCATGCTGGTAAACAGTTTTTTTAATTATTATTTATTATATTATTTAATAGCATTTTATTTTAATTGTTAAATATATTAATTAAAAAAATTTATTAAGACTATTTTAAAATTATTATTATTTTTTTTTTACATTTTTGGATTTAATTATCAGCTCACAAACCCCTTGTAATTCCCTCACAAAGCATCAGATGCACGGCATTATGAGGCGGCTGTGAACTCACACCTTGCAGAGCAGCGAGGGACTCTATGGACAGGACTCTTCGGCCGATGGCAGACAGTTTCCGGCAGATGACTGCGGGCGAGACGTCACCGAGCACAGCCTCCGCCTGAGAGAGAATATCCTGACAAAGAGAGACGATATTACTCACACATATCATTAAACAATAGAGAGAAACCTGCCTCTTTATTAAGTTAAATCACCCTTAAACGGTTCATATTGCACATTTTAATTATTGAATTCTCCACAGAAAGTCATGGAGGTCCAGAACGAGTCAACTTTGCTGTTTAGTGTCAGTAAATGTTCTTACAGTATGTTTTCATCAAGCTCTCGCCTCAAAAGATCAAGGACAATTTGATGAATCATGATATGTAAAACTTTGTTATGTGATATATGATATGTGAAAAACTTTTTTTTCACTACAGTTTGTGAGAGATCTGGTATTTTTTATTTATTTATTGTTAATATTTTGAATTAGATTTTTATTTTTATATTTCCTATTTTCACTTTAGTTTAAGTTTCAGTTTTTTGTTGTTGTGTTTTTTGCCATTGTAGTCTAGTAACTTTTTTATGTTTATGTTTTAGTTAACTATAATAACTCTGCTGCAGGGTTTTTTTTAGTTGATGAAAACCTAATTAATTAAATCATGAATCATGTAAAATTAAAAAATACATCATTTTAAAATAAATAATTATTTTAAAAAATAAAATAATTTTAAAATAAAATAAAATAAAAATAAAAAACTTACTAAAAAAACATGCAATATTTTCTTTGTTTACCTGCATGTCATGCAAACGTGAGCGAACTTGTTAAATTATTATCTTAAGTATTAACTTAAAATATCAGGGTGACAGAAACAGTTTGGGAATCACTGCTTTAGAGACACTGGAATCAAAGCAAATCGATTAGACGGATATTTTATTTTACCTGGAAGGATATTGAGAACCAAGTTGCACTAGCTTTGAATAACCACTAGGTGGCGCTCAAGGACACTTCAATTTAATGGACAGATTTGAGAAACATTATGTAAGTGTGAGCGGTCACTCTCAAATCACGCAGGAGAACATGCTCGCCAGGATTTGTTCTCATCAGAATATTATTACAGACGTAATATCATTCACATATCATTAAACAAAGATTAAATTTGCCTCTTTATTAAATCAAATCACCCTTAAAAAGTTAATATTGTACATTTTAATGATTTAAATCTCTACAGAAAGTCATGGAACTTCAGAACGAGTCTGTTTTCATCAGGCTCTTATCAGGGTTATTATAGTAAACAAACTAAAACCATAAAAAAAAAATGTTGTTACTTGAAATAAAATAGACATTAACTGAAATTAAATAAAAATATATATACAAAAAACAACGTTTTACTTACTTTTTAATTATTTATTATCATGTATTATTTATTATTAAAACTTATTTTTATTATTTATTATTCTCTGATGTCAGATAATGGTTGCAATGCAGGTAAACTAATAAAATATTTTTTATTATTTATTATTCTCTGATGTCAGTTAATGCTCACGACACGCAGGTAAACAAATAAATTTTTTTATTACCTTTTAAATTCATTTTTATATGTTTTATTATTTATAATTCTCTGATATCAATTTTATTTATTATATTTTTATAGTGTTTATTGTTAAAAAAATACCTGACAGCAATGTTATTATAGTTAAACTAAAAACATAAAAAAAACATTTTGTTATTTTAAATAAAATAGACAATAACTGAAATAAAATAAAATATATTAAAACCTTAAAGGGGGCATAACACACACAGTTTCACCTAATCTCATGTTAATCTTGAGTACCATGCCGTTTCACTTACCGTCTGCAGTTCCGAATCATGACCGGGATCTTTTAAAGCTGGGACCGCTCCATCCTTCAGTATCAAACGATGTGGAAATCCAGCGTCGAACTGGGTCTTGTTTACAAAACGTTCGTCAACAAACACACTTGTGAAACTCCGTTGCTGCTCCGGAAAAACAAACTGTATCCACCGTTTACATAATGCTGGGTTCTTTAGGAAGCTGACACGGCCAGGCCCTTCGCACAACCACCGTAGCACACGAAAAGCTGGTCAGATTGCCGAAAGCTGGCCGAACGGTCAATGAAAATCCTCAAAGCCCTGACGGGGCACACCGAAATCTGAGTTGGTGACTCAGAGGACAGGGCAGACAGCGAAACAATCTGCGCTCTGAAGGGGGTAGATAGTGATTTATGGCACTTTTCCACTACATGGTACGGCTCGGTACGGTTCACTTTTGGGGGGTTTTCCACTGGGTACAGTACCTGGTACCTGGCACTTTTTTTTAGTACCACCTCGGTTGAGGTTCCAAGTGAACAGTACCGTTACCAAAACGTGACGTGTAAACTCTGCTGATCACGGATTGGCCGAAGAGGATCGTCACTACCTGCGTCACCGAACTTGCGACACAAATACAACAGAACCACTAGAATTAAATCAGCACAGCCAGCGAAGGATCGAACGCAACTGATTTGAACGAGCGCACCTTTTTTTAACAACCAAAAAGTTT